GGTCACGAGACAACTCGTAAAGAAATCACACTGGGAACATGGTCACAAGACAACTCGTAAAGAAATCACACTGGGAACATGGTCACAAGACAACTCGTAAACAAATCACACTGTGGGAACATGGTCACAAGACAACTCGTAAACAAATCACACTGTGGGAACATGGTCACAAGACAACTCGTAAAGAAATCACACTGTGGGAACATGGTCACAAGACAACTCGTAAAGAAATCACACTGTGGGAACAAGTTTCACAGGACAACTTGTAACATGAGCTTGAAATTCCAAGAAAGTACAACAGCTAGACTATTCAAATACTTATTTTGGCAAGTAATGTGTTCATAAGAAATTTGAAAATGCTAAAAGTAAATATATTTTTTCTCCTTTCCTGGAAGTAACGTCTGTTGATGAGCATTTGCTAACAGTAGAGCTTGACAATACTCACCAAAAATACAAATCAAAACATGGGATGGGTTAAAAGATCTTTCAGATATAAAAGACTGTTTAGTGTAGGTAGTGTTATTAGTTAATTAATATCATGTTTGTAATTCATGATGTCGAGGCTATCGAACATTGCGTTTGCAATTCATTGATGTTGAGGCTATGGAGATTTCTAGAAGGCCTAAGTGATAGATGTATAAATAGCTGCAATCAGACGAGTGGAAACAGAGTAAACGTAAAGTCACGTGAAAGAGAACTTCAATCAGAGAAAAGTTAGAAAATGTAAAGTTAACCCTCGTGGGTGTGAATGGCCTAACAGTTGATATGTTAGAGTGAGATTTACAGTTTGAAAGGAGAATAATTTGTCTCATCAAAGAGAGTTCTAAACTAATTGAACCCACCTGTGTGGACTTTGACAAAAGGCAGATGATTATTGGAAGTACAAAGATCATACGATTATTGGAAGTACAAAAAGCATGCGATTATTGGAAGTACGAAAAGCAGACGATTATTGGAAGTTCAGGATACAACTGAGGTAACTCATGTGACAGTGTAAGAGAATTACAAAAGGATACTATTGAGATAAAAATAGTTAGGCTTGTCAACTGAATTCTAAGGCAATTGAATTGGCCTAAGTGGAATTTTGACAAGAAAAAGAGAGCTGTATAGTGTTTAAGATACAACTATGATCTCCTTAGTGTAAAGAATGACACCTACTGTAAAAGAATCTGAAGCCCAACACACCCATAAATTTACATTAATATATATATATACAACTAAAAAGTAAGTTTATGACAAGATTATTGAATGAAATATTACATTTTTATAGAAAAAATAGTGCTAAACTTATGATGACAAAATTTATTTTGCAATGAGTCATTTTCAGTTTTAAATACAATACTGATTGACAGCTTTACATTACAAAATCTAAGAAAAAAACATGAAATAATAATTGAAATTCATAAAAAATATTACAGAGAAATTCAGGATTTACTCATGTATTTTATTCCACTGAAAGTGTGGGAACCCTGAAAACTTTGATTTGAAAAAAACATCATGAAAGACAGGTTCTCAGGAAATGTACTTTGATATGCAAACTGGTGAGGTTTCAATCACAATATACTGGTAAAAACCTCACACCACTACTAACAATACTAGTTACATTTGACTTTAATTTTGTATTACAAACTTACTTTAAAACTGTTAGTTTAAGTAGTGCTGGACATTCACTGACTTGAATACCCAATTCACAGACAAATAAAACTAAAACTACTTATGTGCAACCTCACTTACCCAGATCTACATTGATGGGATATTGTATCTAATCGTTTGATGTTATCTTTTCATACATTTTGTAAGGTACTCTGTAGATTCACTATTAAAATGGACAAAGAGTACAGCTGCAGCAACTTTGGACTGTACCTGCATCTGTTCAAGGTCGTGAGCCCACTCTAATCTACCCCACTGATCTGTCTGTAAATAGACATTCAGCAGATATTTTAAACTGTAAAATATTGTTTATAAATTGACACACATCAAAGATATTTTAAACTGTGAAATATTGTTTATAAAGTGACACACAAAGATGTTTTAAAGTGTAAAGTACTGTTTATAAAGTGACACACAAAGATGTTTTAAAGTGTAAAGTACTGTTTATAAAGTGACATACAAAGATGTTTTAAAGTGTAAAGTACTGTTTATAAAGTGACATACAAAGATGTTTTAAAGTGTAAAGTACTGTTTATAAAGTGACACACAAAGATGTTTTAAAGTGTAAAGTACTGTTTATAAAGTGACACACAAAGATGTTTTAAAGTGTAAAGTACTGTTTATAAAGTGACATACAAAGATGTTTTAAAGTGTAAAGTACTGTTTATAAAGTAACACATCAAACATGTTTTAAACTGTGAAGTACTGTTTATAAAGTGACACACATCAAAGATGTTTTAAACTGTGAAATACTGTTTATAAAGTGACACACATCAAACATGTTTTAAACAGTGAAGTATTGTTTATAAAGTGACACATCAATCATGTTTTAAACTGTGAAGTATTGTTTATAAGGTGACACACATCAAAGATGTTTTAAACTGTTGTTGTCTGTAAACACATTCAGCAACATTGTTTTAAATTGTGAGCATGGTTGTCAGTAAACGGACATTCAGCAAAGATGTCTTAACCCATGAAGCATTTCTGTTAAGACATATAATGAATATTTTGTAAGCTGTGAAGTATTTAAAAGTTCAAATACAGAAGTGGATATCAAGCTAGTTAAAATAAAATTAACTCAATACATAAAAAATATGTAGAAATAAAACACTTCTCTAGAATTCCTAGTATTTCAAGTTGCTAAACTTACTCTGGCAATATCAAGTTTAAGAACTTTTTCTCACAAAAACAGTATAGTAATTAATGTACATTATTTTTAGCCTTTTATATCAAATTTGATTATTTGAACTATTTTTATTCATTCAAATAAACAATATTTTAGTAAAAAATTCATTATTAAAAGACTTTTGTTCTCTGTATTACAATATCTAACAATTAAGATGGGCTGTTGTTTAAGACTCATAATGTAGATAATTTAATATGAAGAATTATAAACGGACTTTTCTGTATGTTAAAATACTTTTATTGTGAGCTTTCAGCCCTCCTGCCAGAGCCTTCATCGGTTAACAATGCACACAGTAAGAGGGCCGAAAGCTCCCAATAAAAGTATTTTAATGTAGAGTACAGTTGAGATGGGCTTTTAAGTTTTGAAGATGTGTAATTAGTTCATAAGAGGGCTTTTACCATATAAGTAAAAAGGTAGTTACCTGGAATTCAACTTCCAATCTTGAAAGTGATACAGCTGTTTCCACATCAAGAAATCTATCCACGAGGGACAACGTCAAAACTAAAGACTTCAAGTTCTCTACTGCAAAAGAAACTCCTACAAAAAATAAAGATTTAAATCGGATATGAAAGCCTTGTTCGTAAAGAAAACAAAATTCATTCAACCTTTCCGTTGATACACTTAATCCTGTAGATTACCTAAACTACGTTAATGTCGTAATGTATTTAAAAAAAATACAAGTTCAGTTGAATGAAGTTATAAAGATGTTAAATCTCACATACCAAATACTACGGAAAATGATGAAAGTGCAGAAAAATAAAAATATGATTTGGCTTACTTCTGGTGAAGATTCATAATCTAGGTTAGAAGAATTCTCTTAGTAAATATCAAGTTTTATTATTTCAATAACCTTATAACAAAAAGAGCTTAGAGTATTGAAAATTTTGTAATTCTAACTAATTACCTTAGTTAGATCCTTAGAAAATGTTTGTTTTGGGTATTCGTGCAAGGTTACATGAACATTATTTGCAAAACTTATCGCTAATTTTGAACTTATAGACTAGGGAGAAGAAAAATAATTTACATCATCTGTTTTTATATTATGTTAGTTAAATGCCTATTCTATCAGAGAGGATATTGCAGTAAAAAATCATCCAAGGTGAATTGAATAGTGACTTGTAATATTCTTTGCTGGCTGAATTTACAACATCTGTACATCACATTGTGAGAAAACAAGAGTCAGTGTGTCACGCTGTCAACTAAACAAAAACGTGATGAATTCAAGTGTGCTTTCTTGGTTCAATTCTACTGGGAGTTCTCCAAGTAAAGATCATATTTTATGATCATCATGTTTAGATCTAACTTGAGAAATATAAGCTGATGGCCTAATCACAGTTCTGTCTTTTCCTCTGTGTATATTTAGTTTTCTTTTTGTTTGTCGATATCAAAGACTGTGTTAATTTTTTTAGCTCATCTGGTCTAATTATTTCTCACACACAAGAAAACTCAGTCAAGTTTTACTACTCCACAAATTTCCTGGTTGTATCTGCAGATCTAATTATCCGTTACTTGCCGGGAAATCATTTCACCTGAAAATACCACAAACTCACTTCCAACTCTTGAACTACTCTTAACTGAACAGTGCAATTTAACTGTAAATCTTAATATAATGAATCCAAGCCCTAAAATGTTGATCACTAGTTTGTGGAACAAGATACAAACCATGGATCATCTAGATTCACAGTCCAGCAGAGTGACCATTAGACCATGAAGATAAGGATCAAACTTACATACTGATATTCAACAGACTGCTTGATAAGGCCTAGAAACAAAGGAATCATATTATCTGTACTTGTTTTAGTACTCAAAACACAGAATGGCTCATAATATAACAACTAATTTTCATCATATCAATTATACTTTAACATAAAAAATTATGAACTTTAAAGAAACAGACACTGGAAGAAATGAAAAAATATAACAGTTCTTCCATGAAAGATTCTCAGCCAGACATATAGATGGGTTATAAGTTTTTCTACGAATGATTATCAGCCAGACATATATAGGTTATAAGTTTTTCTATGAAAGATTATCAGTCAGACATATATAGGTTATAAGTTTTTCTATGAATGATTATCAGCCAGACATATATATGGGTTATAAGTTTTTCTATGAAAGATTATCAGCCAGACATATATATGGGTTATAAGTTTTTCTACGAAAGATTATCAGCCAGACATATATATGGGTTATAAGTTTTTCTACGAAAGATTATCAGCCAGACATATATATGGGTTATAAGTTTTTCTACGAAAGATTATCAGCCAGACATATATATGGGTTATAAGTTTT